CGTCTAAAAATAACTCAGTTTTCTCAATCTCTGATCATCCCAACTTAGTGCAATGGGGAAGTTCTGTCTGAAAGATTGAACCACAGTACTCATGATGTAAGTATTTATGGATATTTCTCGCCTGAACAGAACAAATGATAAGTCTGTTCAATATAAAGTATTCTATAAAATCGTCACCTGCAATAGAAATATTTGTTATAATCATAAATATCGTATTGACAATAAACCATTTCCTTTCCCTGCTGGGACTGGCATATGAATTAACGAATGAAAATTGATAAAAGTAGAAAGTGCGACGGTTACTTGAGAACACTTAGTTTATCAGAGTATATTACACTCCTCAAACTAACCGATCGTATTTTATTTTTTTCAGATCTTCCAACGCAAATAAAATGCTAAGACGAGAAATGAAAATATATGCAGTTATTGTTGCAATATATCCGGAAGACAACATTTTTGAAGTTGCCAACTTTCCAAATGTTGCAAAATCTTTTGTACACAAAATTTGGATTAAATTGGATACCTATACCGGGAATGTTTCAACTGTATCAAAGAACAAACATTCTAAAAGTTCGGACACTATATGAACACCGCAATATATCTAGTGGGTTTAAAACATTATTAGTGATGATCCCGGAAAATCAGTGAGGACCATTGCCAAGGAACTTAAAGTGTCGGAATGGACTATAAAAACAGTGTTGCATGAGGAAATTCGATGCACGTCGTATGTACTGAAGAGAGGCCAATTCGCAAGAAAATTATTTGGCGCATGCTAAGCGATTACTTAACTCTCATAAAAAATGGTATGCTTTGGTTTTTCTCTGATAAGAAAATCTTCAACCAAAACCAAAGGTTTAACATGCGGAATGAGAGATAGTTATGTGTAAATCTTCTGGTGTTACCAGAGTGATACTCACTAGATTTCCAGCAATTGTAATGGTTTTGGGAGTAATAAGTAATCATGTCATACCACTTCACATATTTCCTCAGGGTATTAGAATTAATGCTAGGTACGTTGAGATACTAGACATTTCTTCAGACCACGATGGATTAAGTACACACTGGACAGATATAAGTGTTTCAATAATACTCACATAAGCCCACATAACCCAAGATGAATGCCAATCAATCTTTACGATCACGTACCATAAAACCTTTGTCCTCCAAATTCGCTAGATTTAAATCACAGCGTTGCTGAAATGGGGGATCCTCATATTACCACAGCTTCTCAGAAGGAAGCTATTGTTCAAGGGATGTCCAAAATGAATATGTAGCATTTAGTGCATACATGCCAAAGATTCTGCTTCCGTATTGAAGATGGATTTACAAAATATGAATATGTGGGAATGTGAATATTCATGAATATTTATTAAAATAAATTTGGTTTTTGCTAGATTAGATTCATTAAATTACCAGATATGTGTTCAAATACCCCTCGCACCCTGTGTTTAATTTAGAGAAAAATACGTTGTTCAAAAAATGTGACATTTTTAATTTAATTTTTTTTTTTTTACATAGTAAAATGCATTTCTACAGCACATTTCTTATTTACGTACGTGAGACTAAAAGCTATATTTTTCGGAGCAATAAGAATCAAAGTGTGAACAGCTTGCAGCTTCATAATTATATCAGTAGCAAGGGCCTGTGTGAACGTTTCAACTGAGTAAAAATGAATTCATTATTTTATTTAAAACATTACTTGTCATGTTAAAACATCTATATTTTAATCTAGTAATATACACGGTTGCTTCACTTAAATTTTAAAAAAATAGCCAAGTGACTAGTTTAAAAATAATGATAACTTGTGAAACTAAAAGTTTACAGAATTCTTTCTTTTGAATATTCTTAAGGGATTATTCGATAGTGACTTTTTTTAAGGCAATCCGAATCTCCATTTCTATTTTACAATATCATAAAATGTATTTAAAAAAGATGAAGAAAGAATAAAACGCACTAAATAAATACAAAGGTTTTTTTAAAAATCAGTTTCCATTATCCATAGAATAAAAAAAGGATGCTTCGCGCTCCTGGCATTTTAATGTAAGCAAATTCGGATTTCATCCGAAGAATTGTAAGATAAACATTTATGGAGAATTAATTATAACTTTAAAAGTAAAATTTAAGAAATGTGTTTATTTATTTATTAATCGCGCGCACACACACACACACATATATATATATATATATATATATATATATATATATATATATATATATATATATATATAGTGTAACCACATATCTATAGCTGAACCTATTTATTTTTTTCAGAAAATCATTACAACTGATTTATCTTTGGAATTATTTCCAACAAATTCAAACAGTACAAATGATTTCTATCATTTCATATATATCAGTCAGTTATGTGTCATGTGTGATACACGCTTATGTGATCATGTATTTTTCGATACGTGACTGACGAGGCAGATTTTTCCCGTTGTAGGTTTCTTTCTGCGGTAGACCAGCTGCTATCCAAGTCTCTCCTGCTATTTACCCATGGGGGTGGGAAGAAGAAGAGGATTCATACATTTTCCAAGGGTATTAGCACGTAAGTGTATGTAATGGATTCGACTGGATTTTAATTTGCTCTCATTTGATTCCTCAATCCGACCCTCTATCCATTGCTCTTATTTGTCCCCTATATATATATATATATATATATATATATATATATATATATATATATATATATATATATATAAGGGGACAGAGGAATATATATATATATATATATATATATATATATAATAAAAGGAATATAGAGTTTTGATGAAATTTAAATGTATCTACATATACTCAATCAATTCCTGAGTTGACATTTACATTTTTTAAATTTAAAAGACACACAAATTATATATATATATATATATATATATACACAACCTGACCGCGCACCGTGAAATAGATATTAAGGACATCGGACTGTATAGAGATGACGGGCTCATGGTAGTAAGGAGTTCTACTAATTTTAAAATAGAGAAAATTAGAAAGATTATAAATAGTGAATTTAAAAAAACTAAATTTAAAAACAACAGTCTGTACTAAATTAAAAAGGGTAAACTTCCTCGATGTAACTCTAGATTTAACAAACACATATCAACCTTATAAAAAACCTAATACTAACCCCTTATATATACACCCTAAGTCAAACTACCCTCCATCCATAATTAAACATATACCGTCATCAATAGAGAATAGAATCAGCATTAACTTCGCCATTAAAGAAATATTCCAACAACACAGTAACTTTTTTTAAAAAATAGTGGATACAAAAATTGCTAACATCAATTATAGAAACAATTGTACTAACCGAAAAAAAAAACAGGAAAGAAAAATCATTTGGTATACCCCTCCGTTCAACCAAATGGTTAGTATTAAACTAGGACAGAAATTCCTAGCTTTAATTGAAAAACACTTTCCTACCCAAGACTTAGTAAAATATTTAATAAAAACACCCTAAAATTAAGTTACAGCTGCACTGAAAATCTAGAAAGTATAATAAAAAAACACAATAATAAAATCCTGAATAAACCCCCATGCCAGAATAGTATTAATAAAAACCCTACACTTAAATTAGACAAAAATAGTGAAAAATTATGTGATTGTAGAAACCCAGAAGACTGCCCATTGGAAAATAAATGCTGCGTAAAATCTGTGGTATACCAATGTACTATCTCATCCATTGAGAGTCCTAATACTAATATGATATACATTGGGTCTACGAAGAATGAATTTAAAACCAGATGGAGGCAGCATAAGTGCTCCTTCAACAATATAAATAAAAGAAATCAGACATCTCTATCTAAATATTTTTGGCATTTGAAGGAAATGAATAAAACACCAAAAGTAAAATGGAAAATTATAAACAAAACTAGAACTTGTAAAACTTGGGATGACCCATGCCCTTTATGCCTACATGAAAAACTACACATTATTAAGTTTCTAAATAATAAAAATCTATTAAACAATAGACAGGAGTTAACGGTTTTTTGCCGACATCATCAAATTTTCGCATTGAATAATTAGCATAAAAACAAACAAACAATAAAATAATTTTAAATTCCATAGTCTAAATAAATAGTTTAACTGCCCTACAAAAAAAATAAAAGAAAGATAACCCTTTATGAAGTCGTCAAAAAAACAAATGTTAGCGACTTACGACAGTTTTTATATATATATATACACAAAACCCTTTCAGAAAAATAAAAAATAAAATAAAAAATAAATAAATCTCCATAAACACTTAACCAGACTAGGCGATGTCATTTTCCGCTTTAAATTTAGACACCCCAACCTTACCCTGACTTGACATCTGTGAATGTAACTGAGATATTGATACAAATTATTAACACCTTACGCTCCTTTTTCTTTAAACAATTGCTCTAGCCGTTACCATAGTAATCTTAATTTCAATAATGAATATGCTTATAAAACGCGTAAATTTCAGGAATAAGTTATTCCAGTAAAAAATTTCGCTTGAAGATGGAACAGAGCTTAGTACTTTAATTCAATTTAATTCAAATAATTATATTGAAGTTTTCGGCTCTTGTTTTGAAACATGAGAACTCTTATGTAGCGTTGGAATCATATTTTTAAATAAATAATTATATTTATGCTCTACTTTTGTATCGAGCACTATTTTTAAAAAAATAATAACAAAAATACTAAAGAACTTTGGATTATTTACCTAACGAGTTCTTTCCACACACACACACACACACACATATATATATATATATATATATATAAATATATATATATATATATATATATATATATATACTTTAAATTTAAATACAGATGAAATCAAGCGATCAAATAACCATGTTCCTGAAAGTACTACTGGATTCGAGAATTGTTAGGAAAATCCCACTGCCATTTCAGTTCTTACTACTTTTAAATGAAAAAATTGTTAAGAAATATTATTGCAAATTTATAGTAAGAAACTGTTAAAAAGTTTTCACTTGGAATACAATTTGAAACTTGTATAGGTGTTTGGTTCACGTAAGTTGAATAAGAATGACAAAGAGGTGCATTACCTGTCTCCATAGTGATAGCTGTATGCTGTCACTTCCGGTAGTTCCCGAACTGAGCAGAGCTGCCGTGATTAGATGTCCAATTGGTAATAGAATCCCTAACAACACGGATATTAATCTCTGCAACGGCATAAGGGTATAAACCATGAAGATGACGAACGCCACTTCCCACACACCTTGTACGGGTAGCGACAAATACTTTGTATCCGGATAATAGCCATTACCTATGATCAAACGGGTGTCTTTCAGGCCTCTTACTCTGGTCGTTTCTCCGTTCGTGTACGGTAACGCTGTAACCACACCGAGTTCAGGATTTAAATCCGAGATGGTAAAAGATGAGAAATCAATTGAAGAAAGTAACGATTCTGAATAGGGGGCCATATTTTTGTTGAGAGTGTCATCTGTAGCGTGTGCCACGTGAGAGTCCGTCATTTCGGTGTCCATATCGTTGAGCCGTTTGTCGATAGGTGGCAAATCACCAAAGGGTATAGGAAATGACATCGTGGCAAAGATGGTAAGAAAAAAAAGGAGAAGGTAACATAACGGCATGAAGTACGCCTCCTCCATGTAGCGAGTGTTGATGAACACGAAGACAGTTATGAAAAACAAGCACTGTACACACAGGTAGATACTTCGAACAGTCGGGTGGAAGAGATAGAAAAAGTTCAATACGGCAAGGCATGAAGTTAACAAGATGAACACGGCGAGCATGTAGCCGATGGTAGCTTGTTGAAGTTTGTACACGTATTTTTTATACAGCCTCTCCAATTCGGGATTGTCGAATTCGAAGTGACTAAGTGCCCGTTGAAATTTGTTCTTGCCTTTCGGTGTCTCATTCGAACTTTCCGACACCAGGGGCCCGCCGCTGGCTTCCATTTTCTTGTGTCGGTAATGAATAGATAAGTGAAGAAAAGCAGTTATGAATTGCTGTAACAGCTGCGTTGATATTTGTAGTAGTAGTAGTAGTACTTATTGTTACATCAAGAACTTTTACTTAGCAATTCAACAATTTAGTTAAGTTTTCTTTTTTGCTAATCAATTCGAAATGCATCATTGCTAATTATTCATGGTAGTGATGATGTCTGGAACGGAGCAGTAGCTGTTTAGTTAAAATCTCGCTTGTTCTTATATATGCGAGTAGCTAAAAGAACTGCAAGATTGTTGAAGTTGAGGATAAATAGTTGTAGTTTTTGTTATGATAGCAGTTACCACAAAGCTACTTGTGAACGCTTGCAAACTCAGTTGTAGCAGTAGTTGCTGTCGTAGTAGTAGTGCTAGTACTGTCTAGTAGTAGTAATAGTAAACTGGTGAAAAAGCACAAATTTAGTTTTAATTTTATAGTTGGAAAAAGTAATGAAACATTTAGTTATTAAGATGCTATATTTACAAATGCTAGCTTTTAGTACTTTTTTCTTGTAAAAATTTTACTTTTAAAAATCAAAGGGAATGTGACAGCAGTTGATGTCGTAAACGTATACAAGATTTGTATGTGTTTAAAAGTTAAAAAGAAATACTTTGGGGAAATGATTATCGGGTCTATTTGTTATAAGTTTATGCAGATAAACTGTTTAATTGCAATCAGACCTGCATATAGGAAACTGATAGCTACCTTCATGTTTGTTTATACTGAATCATTTTTCAGAGCACGTGGTGAGTGTGCATTTTGAAATACACACACACATATATATATATATATATATATATATATATATATATATATATATATATATATATATGGAAAAAGAAAAGAGGGGAGAGAGATTTTATCTGATTTTAAATAGTAAAAATAAAATCGATTAATAAAAGGAAAATAACATAAATTCCTTTACATTTTTGTTATTTGCTCTCTTTTAAGTAACCCTCACCATTTTTTACTCATGGTTGTATTTTTCCTTTTGTAAATAACTTGATATGTTATTGTAAAAATTACATTCTTTAATTAATCTGTGTGTTTGTGGTGAGAGACAGCTTGTGTTGTCTGACTGTTATTTCGGTTTTTATGAAAATTGAGACATCAAATTCCAATTCACAATACACTTTCTTTTTTATTTAAATAATAATATTACAAATTACGCGAAAAATTAAACTACATTGCTAATAAAGGATAAAGAATCAGAATCTTTTGAAATCAAAACTAATGAAATGTGTCTAAGTATCTGTGTAATGAATAAAAATCGATCGATCCAGCTGCTACTTGTAATAAATAGAGTGGCCATAGTTCTGGTCTTGTTTCATCTTGTAGGCCATGCTGACAAACATCTCCAGGTGAGTGCCGTTGAAAGCTCCTCCGCCAGGGCCAGAATCGTCAGAATGTCTACCTTCATCTTTCATTCATTTGTTGCGTGGGCATTTGTTGTGTGTTGTGTGTGAATGTCTGTGTAGCGAGTAGGAAAGAATATGAGTAATAACATAAAAATATTGTTATTATTTGATTTGTGGCGAAGAAAGCACAAGAAGCTGATTTTTATATGCGTTTTTAGGCTGTTTCAGATGAATACTGTATGCCTAACAAACATATAGCGATGATTAAATAGAAATTTTTTATGGTGAAATTCAGGAGTGGGAATAGTCTGGTTGCGATTGTTTTGTACTGCAAATAACAAAGGAAGAGAAATAATTTCTTTTCTACTGTCAGCGCTACACAAGTTTGTTATTTAGCTGCTATTCGTGCTTCTCGTTTACTAGGATCACGAAAACAAGCTGACTACAATAATTTTTACTAATAGTTAGATAGAGAGATACATCGATTACGAATAAATATGTATGCCTCGTTTTGCACGCGGTTTTCCCAATTTACTATTTGATGCAGTGGAATAAAAATAAAATGCAAATAAAAAGTGAGTTATTTAGCAACCAAATAACTGCCAGTGAGAAGTAGAAATGTACAAATGTCTACGTCTAGTGTGATGTCTATTCTAAGTTGAGCTGGGATGTTGGTGCCTACTGTGTATAAATGCCAAGCAAAAACTTGTCATGTGATTATAAAGGTGAGCCGAATAAAAAGCGTAACACTGATGTTAGAAGTGATAAGAACACTTTTTGAAAGTTATACTAGCATTTACTATTTACTATTTTAAGCATCCAGCAAAAACGTTTGATATATAGATAGGTTTCCAGAATTATGAACATATCGAAGTCATTTGCGATTACTTATAATGGATCTTGGAAGCATAGAAATAAACGTAAGAAAAATCACAAATTGTAATGTAACTGTAAAAAAATTGTAATGATTTTCATGACTTCTTCGTTGTCTGAGAAGATAAAAACTTTTTCGAAGATTTTAATGCAAGCATACACACACAATTCCATCCATAAAATATTTTTAATTTATATTTATTATTTTTTAATTTTAATTTCTCTTTTTTGTGTATCTAGAAAAGGAGTAGAATATGCTTAATTCTAGCCATATTTGTAAAGAACGTTGAAAAACAGATGAAAAAGAAAAACAATGGAGGATATTGTAGAATGTAGACTTAATGTAAACCACATCAGTTCTGTAGATTCTTTCTGAGGATATGGCATTTGGATTTTGCATAGTTGTGACATTACATTGTTTCTTAATATCGTTTATTCAGAATCTTCAGCACATTTCTCTCATTTAACCAGAGTAATCTGCATGTATCTGATCATATTTTGATTGCTTTTGATATATATTATGCATACATCTTACCTAATAAAGACACCTTGTGTAAATAGTCTAGTGCTGCACAAGGCCACGATATTAGTGCACGCAGTACAGATCGAACACATTGATAATATCTAGCGGACTGAGTTTGAAAATCATCCATAACTAAAAAAAATCATTACTAACAGTAATTACTGTAAGCATTAGCATTTAACAGCAATTAAAATAAGTTGTTAAATAACTGATTGTGGTAGTTGGTAGTGACTGGATCTGAAACAGTAGAAGGGTTTTTGTTTGTGAGAAAAATTATTACCAGACGATATGAGCACTCTTAATATTGATAACATTAATATAGCTAGTACATATCGCCTGGTAATAATTTTTCTAATTAAAAGTGTCAGATGTGATAGCTAAATGGTCATATTAGTAGCAGTATTTATAGTAATCGTATTTGCTACAGACTAGTCCTACTTTTCTATTGTTAAGTAAGTAAAGTACTAATTTTAAGGTCTTAGTTGCCAAAGTAAAAACGCTTAAATGAAACTCACAATAAAAGTTCAGCTTAAGGATACTAATTTTCTGTGGTTTTGGTCCTTGTCAGCGTTTAAAATTACTTGCTTACTAAGTAACAGTTAAAGTGTTGTAAAGAGGCAATTGAAAAATAGTAAGTATATAAAAGAATTTTGAGTTTTGTGAATAATTCAAGTAGTACTAGAAGTAGTAGTAATCGTAGATAAAATTTAGAAATAAATTATCCACAATGACTGTTACAGCAATAAGAGAATGAGTCATAGCCCCCCCAAAAATAACTCAGAGAAGTAACTGAGATCAATTTTGACAAAAGACAGTTAATTTCCTGAAAGTAAAAAAGGTATAATTATCTCATGCAGAAAGTAATTGCCAGGCGTATAAGACGCCACAGTTCATAGGAATTAAATTATTATTGTTTCGGCTTGAGTAACTGTAGCATTTTTGTGGCTGTTAGCAAGGCGAAGGTCTCAGTAATAATAATAATAACAACAACAACAATTATTATTATTATTATTATTGTAGTAGTAGTAGTAGTAGTAGTTAAGTTTTCATTTATCGTCCTAAAGTATTGATGAGTGTAATTTGCGGACAAGTTTAAATTTCGTTTATGTTTCTTAGAAATTAGTCGTAGGAAAAGTGCGAGGTTAGTTGTAAATATGACAAGAAATTAGTTTGTTAGTTATTTGTGATTAAGAATATGTTTCAATGATTGACTGATTTGTTTTGTTTATTTTTTGTTTTGTTTTTTTGTTTTTTGTAGACATAGTAAAGTTTGCTAATGAAATGTATAAGAAGAACAACAATAAAACATTGATATGTAACTTCTGGTAATAGCAATCAATATTAGGTTTTATTAATAGACGCAATATTAGGTTTTATTAATAGACGCAATATTTCTTGATAATAAGCAGATATATGAATGCTAAGAGTGTTGATGAGGACGAAAAGGCAGGAATTGTTACATTGCTCGTGTCCCAAAAATAAAAAAAATGGGTAAGTTATTCCTACGGACAGTGAATAATATTTCTGTAATCATGTAAATTGCGTTTTAGATATTGTTGTATTATTTAAACTGCCTTATATTTTTTTTATTTTAAATTATGGATTCAATTAACTAGTTCTGTTAGAATGGCACATTATTGAGTAGTTTTTGTTTTTTAAATGTACTTAAAAATAAGTTCATAATACTTCATTTTTTAAGTTGCTTTGTGAAATTACAACTCGGTGTGGAGAAATTCCTCTGTACTCACTGTAGTGTAAAGATGTCAAATGATAAAGCTTCCCAAATCTTGGTAACCAAAAGCCGGTTATTCAACGACCAGATAATTAACGTTGAAGTATTTTCCCTGAGGTCATAAATGAAACCAATAAGTATTATCAAGTTATACAAACGAATTAGGTGGTAATCAGTTAAAATCGTAATTTGTAATATGAACAAAACTGACTATGGCAATGTTGAAGAATTAGTCCAAGTTAAATTCAAAACTAATTCAAAGATGGACAATTTTACAAACTAGCACTTGGCAGTAGTAATTGTGGTTCAAATAATAGTGATGAAGTTCTGTAAAAAAAAAGCATCCTTAATACTCCCAGTTAATTTTGAATTTGACTGAACCTAACTTATCATATATTTATCTAATGAACCATAAAACCTTGTATAGCAAAAGAACGAAAATTTGAAGCGATTCATAAATAAAAAGTGTTTTTTCTTGAGCAAGAA